GAAAACAGACAGTAAAATTATCCGTTCTTTCTCGAAAACATGCATACACACACATATCACAAAAACCACCATTTAGTGTCCACAACAAAGCAAGAAAACCACTTATTTTCCGATATAATTACGAATATTTTCACCTTAAAATTTGCAAACCGAAACGCGTCGTCGTCCGTCATTATAACAATATTCTTTCGCATCAGCAGATTCCTTCGGAACCACACGTTATTTTCTCATTAGACAGGGACGTATTCGGAAATATTTAAAAATAAGGAATTATCGCTTCAGGGTGCCATAAAGCAGAAAGTTTGTTTACAAAAAAAGAAAAACGCATCTCTATAAACTAATGACACAATTTGTGTAAAAATAAATGAGGGTAAGGGGTGTAATAATTGTTTAAATATAAAAAAAATGTTTAACTCGAAAACGGTAAGAGATAGGAGGTTCGTGCAAAGAACAAAAAAGTTTCTAAAATACGAAACACATGCACCTATCTTGACGGTTTTTAGTTTGAGTTTAGCATTTCGGAGAAAAGGGCAAAAGTTTGTGGTGACCAAACGGAATTAGTTAAAAATTTGTTTTTTGTGTCAAATTATTTTCGGATGAATAATCGATAGGTCCATATAATTAAATATGTGAAAATTTGAGTTTGGGGCGCAACAATTTTTGTCAAAAAAGGTTGTCAAAATTCGAAAAAAAGTTTTCCTTGAGCAGTAGGAAAGTAAATTAGAAGTTTTGGTGAAAAAAAAAATTTAAAAAATTCAAAGAATCCAAAGAAAAATTAAAACAAAAAAAATCTCAAAAAAAAAATCCAAATTTAGAAAAGTTTGTTTTTTCACAAAAACAAATGCATATTCATGAAGTACTATCTAATCGTGTGTAAAAATGATCATGACTCATAGGTGTATCTACCGTTTAAATAGAAAAAATTTTTGTTACTCGAAAATGGTAAGAGATAGGAGGTTCGTGTATAGGGCAGAAAAGATTGACAAAAACAAATAATATCGACAGCCGTCAACGGTTTTTCGCTAACTTTTGATATGACTGTGAAAAGGGCAAAAGTTTGTGGCGCCCAAACGTAAAACTTAAAAAATAGATTTTTGTACCAAAATATTTCCGAATGAACGGTCTATAGGTCTACGTAGCAAAAAAAGTATTTTCATCTACCGTTTAGTAGTAATAACGAAAAAACCTTATAGCTCCTAAGGGGTAAGAGGTAGCATGTCGGTACAAGGGAACGGAAAAAAGCTAAAAAAATTAAGATACACGTTGAGCAAAAAAAATTTCGAAAAAAGTTGAAATTGAGGGAGAAAAGGGCAAAAGTTTCTAGTGCCCAAACGGTAAGAGATACGGTATCGGTTGTATACATCAAAACCTTCTTATGGAACGAACGGATAAGTTTGCTCAAAAAAATCGATTCTGTCCACGTCAACCTTGATACAGGAGCCATTTTTAGTTTTTTCAAGGTCGCTACGTAAAAATTTTTTCAGGTCGAAAAAAAGACCATCGAAAAAGGATTCGAATAAGCCCAACATGCAACACTTAAAAAAAAAAAAAAAAAAAAAAAAGCGAAATAGGTTATTGTCTTTATATTTATTGTCACATGACTACTACCATCACAACTAAGTACACTAAGACATTAAAGAAAAAATTTCAAGTTTCAAAAACCAACAAAAAAACATCAAAAACCATCAAAAAGCACTATTAAAAAAAGAGATATATGTATATATTTGCTGCTTCCACTAGTTCTATCACTACAACAATTTGCTACCACTACAACAATTTGCTACCACTACAACACTAAACACCACTATATATACTATACCCTATATACTATACACTATACACTATATACACTATTCACTGTACAAAATTAATCCTATTTAATAAGTTTTTTACTTCTTCAGCACTGCTTTCACAATTTTTCAAGTTTTTGTTGAGATCATACAGTTCTTTTTTGGCTTCCGCAAGAAGTCTTTGATAATCACACACTTTTTTCTCATATTGTTTGACGTTTTTTTCACACCTCGTCTTTTTTTTAAGGAGGTCGAACCTTTTCTTTTTATGGGTTCGTTCGGCCTCCCGACACTTCGAACGGAAAGACGCCAGAAGTTCCGGTGCCGTGGATGGCGACTGGAACTCATCCTCGCTGTCCACAGTTCGAGGTGTCGGGGGTGGTGTCCGGCGGATCGGTTGCTGTTCCTCCTCTTCCTGCTGTTGCTGCTGCTGGTGCACTGATGGGGAGCGTACATCAGCATCAGGAACAGGAAGAGTTGCATTCGTCTCTTGTTGTTGTTGTTGCTGTTGCTCCTCAGGGGTTGCCTGCATGTTCTCACACAACGCCCTCAATAACTTCATGTTCTTTCCACCATTTTCCTCTTCGCCATCGAACATAGATGGCGTCAAGTCGATATCGAGAGGAGACGGCTGCTGGTAGGAACATGAGGGCTGTGGAGAACTGGGCTCTGGAGATCTTAATCGACTCATCTCCTCCTCCGAGAGCTCAGAGATAAGTCTCATAGGGGGTGGTGGTGATGATGGACGGCAATTATTATTATTGGGTGGCTACAAAATATATAAACATTACTTAGTTATTATTAAAAAGAGAAAAAGCAATCGCAATAATAATGCAAATATATAATAGATAAAAATAAAAAAAAAAACCTACCTGAATGACGATATTTTCCAGAATATTAATTTTTGGTTTTTTTAAACTCAGGGAAAATTTCATTTTTATTGCAGGGACACTGTACACACACACACAGAGAGAGAATAAAAATAACTAATGACAATTATAAGTAACTACTCTAAATATATAGGAAAAATAATGCAGAATATACAAAAAAATAAACAATGTAGAGGGGTTAAATGCCGAATCAGCAGTTTTTCATGTCCATATATGGACATTTTAAAGATTGATCCAAATCAGAGAAATGCAATTCAGCAATTTTTGAAGACGTGCTTTTCTCGGAAATTAAGAGTTCAAGGTTATGAAAAAACCTAATTCTGTGAGAAATGCAATTCGGCAATTCCATAAACACGTGCTCTTCACGGAACTTAAGAGTTCAAGGTCATGAAAAAACTATTTCCGTGAGAACTGCAATTCAGCAATCCAAGCCTCACTGTGATGAAGCACATGTATATAAGACGTATTGGTGTTCTATAAATTTATCAGTTCAGTTCACACATCAGATATGTTTCCACTGAAAGAGAATCTTTTGGTTTCTCGCGATCTTGATATAGATTCATTGAATGAAGAGAAACGTTGTATCATTCAAGCAATCGAAAGTTTGTTACGACAAAAATTTCCATTGTGCAGAAAATTCATGGCTGGTGGATGTGCCGCATTTCTATTGAACCGAACCTCTTCATATACGGACATTGATATTTATATAGAAAAAAATGAAAATATAGAAGAATGGGCTAAGGATAACTGCCAAGCTAACCGAATCTCTACTTACGTTTATCAATCCAAATGGCCTTGCTGTTATTTGAATTTTGAAGGTTTTCTATTTAACCTTATTTTTATTGAACCTCGTCCTCAAATTTCCTTGGAAGCCAGAATACTAAGAATTCTCAAATCTTTCGATTTAACGATATGCAAAGTGGCAATGTATTTTTCAAGTGGAGTAAATCCAGTACTTGTTGAATGGAAATTAACAGATGTGAATTTCGACAATGTTGAAAAAAAAGATCGCATCACCAAATATAAGAAAAGAATTGCGAAAAAGGAAGTACGATTTGAACCAAACAATTTAGCTATGTCAGCATATACTGTAGTGGTAGATCACGATGATTCCTGTCGTGCTGCTAATAATTTGAAAAATATTAAATAATTTATTGTTGTGTTAAATCGTAGTGCTGATGCTGTTAGAAAAAAAAAAAATTATAGAATATATGTGAAATAAAACTAATAAATGTAAATAATTGTTTTATTGAATCCGTACATTCATACATTTTCAAACATTTGTTGGATTATTGGGTTTGCTACAATGAGTGAAACATATTAACACTAAATAAAGTAACACACAAAATATAATTACAAAAATAATTGCTCCTGCAGAAGTAAATATCCAGATCCAGGGTTTTGCCAAACAATATTGTGTAGCATTTTCACCGCTAGAACTTTTGTATCCACTATAATCGTTAATAGTGGTGATATTTGGTGACTTGCATCGGCTTCTGTTTTTGAAGACAAATTCTAGTTGATACTGCAGTTGGCTGGAAACGGATACATTTTTTGAATAAAACATAACTAACTGATCATGTCCATCTTTAATTTCTATCATTTTTCTACAAGTACATTCTTTATTTCTAACCAGAGTTTGTAAATGTACATCTGTAACATTGCTATCAGTGAATAAATACAAATCTTTCTGTATTAAAATGGTCGATAAAATAAGTGTGCAGTTTAAGCCTAACATTGTTTGGATAGAATGAGTACTTTGTTGTTGCGAAGTAACCTATATATGTATTCAACAGCACCACCACCACCACCACAATTAGCACTAACGGCTCGCCAAATCCCAGCATGCTGCTATTACGGTCATTATCGAGAATATGAGAAAAAGTGAAGCAGACCACACATGATCGTTTCTTAAACAAAAATCAAAGATTTCCTTTGAATTGTTACTACTGTTAATATTTTCGATTATTAACCATTGAGAAAATTGTCGATTTCCTTGTTCTGTTTTTATCTTGTAAGCCAAATAATTTTGCGTTGTGATATTTTTCGCATAGAAGAGATGATAACTGGTTTCGATTATATTGATCGGAGTCATTTTTTCCCAACATTCCTTTTCATACGTCTGAATATACAGAAGAGTTATGTTTGGCGTGGTATAGATATATAAGTTGTTTTCAACAAGCGCACTTAATAGTACCATCACGTTGATAGGCAGAAACATTTTAGACTAGTTATGTTCTTGTATACACACACTCGAATAGCAAGCTTGTAGAGGTGGTAAGTCATGGTAGGGTGGTAGCGATAAACGGACCGAAACAAATTACTATAATTATTTTATTATTTTCTTCTAAAAACTGACTTATAATTATTGATTGCCGTTCTGTCCAGAAGCAGCTCCCTACTCATGGAGGGGACGTACGTTTGACTAATTTCATTATCCCAGTTGTCTGGGCATTCTATTATTGGCGGTGGTGGTGGTGGTGCTCGTGGTGGTGGTGATGGTGGCGTATGGGATGCTCTGGAAGCAGCCTCACGAAGACATCTCTCCCGCTCCCAGGCCTCACGATGACAATTAAAAATATGGCGCTTCAATCGGCTCTCAAGAAGCCTATGGCTTCTGTCAAACGGGCATATGACAAATTGCTCTAAATAAAAAAAAAAGAAAAAACAATTAGGATTTTTATTTAATAGTAATAAAGACAAGCTTACCCATTTTGTTGTTTATATATATTTTTCTTAAGTGTTGAGGACTGACTGTGATCTTCAATTTGTTGAGGACTGTTATAACTCTTGCGGGTGATCTCCCATTTATACACATTATCAATCCCCACTCTTGCTATTTTCCTCCACTTTTACTACAGATTACATTTTCTTAATTACGCTGAAGTTGATAATTTAGTTGTTTTTCTGAGCTTGCAAAAATACGCGTCTCATTTTTCGCTGATTTTTATTAAATTTGTTGAGTTGTGAGTTACAATCGGAAATTTCGTTCACATATAAATAAGAAGGTATTCCACAGAAGAATAAAGAAAAATAATAGTGCTCTTCTTTCTACTGTGATAAACAAGTTCGACAGCAAAAAAAAAAAAGAAATGCATCCGCAGGAAACAGTGACGGCTATATGTAAAGGCTCGCTTAAGCTAATTCATGAATATATTAGTAAAATCAAAACAATCGAAGAAATTAAAAATTTTTTAGTATATATAAATACCAGCATTAGAATAATTAGAAAAGCACTTAGATGTAAAATACATCGAGAAAATATTTTAGAAAATGCTAATTCCTTAGAAACAAGTCTAGCTTATTTAAAATTTTACCGTTTCAAGCTTTTGAATAAGAAAAAACATTTGTCTCTAAAAATTGGAGAAGGTTATTTTAAAAGAGACAAATTTAAACCTACGGCAAACGTAACCTGGCAAGACATAGAATCTTGTTTTGAACAAAGGATTCGTACAGGATTTATAATTAATCATCACATTAAAGATCCTCTTCAGTTTTTTCGACAATCTTTTAAATGCTTTATGTTTAGAATTAGAAAAGAGCTAAAAAACACGATGCTAAAATTAAATGTAATTTTTTCGGCAAATTTCATTAAACCGCACTCTGGTGAAACAGACGTTAAAACATTCTCCACAAAAAATCAGCACATTGATGCATATACAGATTTAAAGCAATGGTACGAAGAGAACGTTGTTGATAAGATAATGAAGAAATTAGAAGAATTTGCGGAAAAGGACTCCGGTTGGGCGTTGTATGAGATTTTAGGATTGAAAATTAACATAAATAAATATGATCCAATCAAATTTGGTTACTCAACTTTCGTGTCCACACCAGCTTGCATTAAAAAAAAACATGCAATAATTAATGTCCAAAATGATGATGAATATTGTTTTCTATGGGCAATAGTTTCAGCTTTATTCCCTACCGATAAAAATTCACATCGAAAATCGTCGTATCCACACTTCAAAAATGTGTTGAAATATGATAATTTAGACTTTCCAATCACAATTAAAGACATTCAAAAATTTGAAGAACTCAACAATCTTGCAATTAATTTGTACTGCATCGAGGAGAAAAAAGTTTTACCTTGTCGTTTAAGCACAAGGTTTTTAAATTCTAATAAAGTAATTAATTTGCTTATGCTACCTGCTGAAACACAAATACAAAATACAAAAAACGACAATGATCACTTTGAAGATCGTCAATTGCTCTATCATTTCGTATGGATCAAAAATTTGTCAGCTCTTTTAGCTAAGCAACTTTCCCTCCATAAATGTAAATTTTATATATGCGAAAGGTGTTTAAATCATTTCACTACAGAGGAATTACTCCAAAAACATAAAACTACATGTCAGAGTATTAATAAATATTCCATAAGACTGCCATCAGAAAACGAAAATTATTTGTATTTTCAAAATTATAGATATCAAGAAAAAGTACCTTTTACTATATATGCAGATCTCGAGAGTATTCTTCTTGATTATTCAAAAGACCACATGTCCACTACTTGTAAAACCAATCCTTATCAAAAACATGTTGCATACAGTGTTGCATACTATTTTCACTGTTCATATGATAATTCTCTTTCCAGATTTCGTTTGTATCGAGGTAAAGATTGCATCCAATGGTTTGTTCAAGAGTTAAATCAATTGGCTCATTTTTGTAACAACAAATTTCAAAACATTATTTCTATGGAAAAATTAACTACACAAGAACGTGAGCAGTTTGAATCCTCACAAATATGTCATATATGTAAAAAAACATTTTCAGAAAATAACGTTAAAGTGAGCGATCATAATCACTTAACTGGAATGTATAGGGGCGCTGCACATCAGAATTGTAATTTAAATTATAAAGATATTTGTGTTATACCTGTGGTGTTTCATAATATGAGTGGATATGACGCACATTTTTTTATTAAAGAACTTTCAAATTCAATAAAAGGTGACATTAAATTGCTTCCCATCAATAAAGAAAGATATATTTCATTTACTAAATTTGTCGATGATACAAAAGTTAGTTTACGATTTATTGATTCTTTCAGATTTATGCCCTACAGTTTAGACAAGCTTTCTTCCAATTTAGATAATTCACAAAAAATTATTACTCAGACAAATTGTAATAATATGGAAGAATTTTATTTGTTAAACAGAAAAGGAGTGTTTCCTTATGATTATATAAATTCCTGGGAGAAACTCCTTGAAACAAAACTTCCCGAAAAAAAGGATTTTTATAGCCGCTTATACGAACAAGATATTAAAGATGAAGATTATTCTCACGCTATCAAAGTTTGGAATACTTTCAATATTCGTACATTAGGAGAATATTCCGATTTATATTTAAAAACAGATGTGCTTCTTCTATCCGACGTATTCGAAGCATTTCGAACTACGTGTTTAAATACTTATCAACTTGATCCCTTACATTATTATACTGCACCAGGCTTAACATTTGATGCCATGTTAAAAACGACAAAAATTAAACTAGAACTCTTAACGGATATAGATAAAGTCCTTTTTGTCGAGAGAGGTATTAGAGGTGGAGTTTCCCAGTGTTCTAATAGATACGGTAAAGCCAATAATAAGTACATAAATAAAGACGAATATGATCCTTCACAAGATAGTACCTATTTAATGTATTTTGATGTTAATAACCTTTACGGAGCGGCAATGTCTCAATGTTTACCGTATGGGAAATTTGAATTTGTAGAAAATTTCAATATTTCAGATATCTTAGATACTTCTGATAATTCCACAACTGGTTATATTATTGAATGCGATTTGGATTATCCAGTAGATTTGCATGAAATACATAGCGATTTACCTTTAGCTCCAGAGCACATGATACCTCCCATTTCAAGATCTAAACTTAAAAAGTTGTTATTGACTTTATATCCTAAGAAAAATTATGTTATACATTATAGGAATTTAAAAATGTATACAGGGTGTCCCAGAATTCGCGCCATTCCCGTGAATGACATGTTCCCTGTCCCGAACTGTGCCGTAATTCGCAAAAAGAATTGTCCAGGCTTTAACCGTGTGAGAACTGGAAGCCGATTAAGTTGACCAATAGAGAGGCTGCTTTTATATCCGAACGTTTCTATGTTCAAAGTTACCTATGCCAAGAACAAAAAATCCGGTAATACTAAAGTTGAATGAATTTTTTCCGAATCCCCCTCCGTCAACAAAAGGAAACAGAAGTGTGGTTATAAATTTAATCATTTTGACAATTGTTTGTCATAAACTGTCACGAAGTTCATCACTGACCTGAACAGACGCTTCTGCCCCCAAAGATGACTGATTAATGTACACAGAGACGTCAAGGTTTACTTTAAGGCAAGTAGCATGGGACAGAAGTTATTTCTGCTGCCATTCTAGTTAAATTGTGTTTAACTGGGCTGTACATGTCATAAAAGAAGCTGTTTCATTTCATCGTAGGCAAATAATACATTTATTACTATTCGACATAGTGTAGATACCGAAGAGCAGGTATTAGATAAGTCATTTTCTTAGAGCCCCGTGAATAATGTGTTGTACTTTTTAACGAAAAGTAGTGCATTTTCAGAATTCACTATGCATCATATCCCTGGTATTAAGTTTATCGTTATTTCTAAAAAAGAGTACCACATGTTCATTCAAAGAACGTAATTAAGTGTACTAAAACATAAATATCGCTTTTGATTAATCGGTGCTTATGATTTTCAATAAACAGTATCAATTTTTACCGAACAGCTTTGTTGCTGATACCTAATCTAAGCAACGAAAAAAGAGACGAGACTCCACTTCTCTGGTGTATTGAAATCATAGGTATCTGCTGTGGTGTCAATCAGGTGGTGGAGATACTGAAAACGGAGACTTATTCAAGAATAATATTGATGTTGCACATGATGATTTAAAACAGTTTCTTTAAAGTTGTGAGTACTTTCTAGAGATTGAAAAGATACGAATAAAAAATGTGACAAAAATCGTTTAGTTGCATTTTTTTTTTTTAAGGACAATACAAATCAGTACTAAGTTATTGATGTCTTATTCATACTAGTATAAAGAATATTTGGAAATGATGTTAATTTATGGAGAATGTAAACGCTCTGCAGCCACTGCTGTGCGCGAATATACAGGTCTTTTCCCCAACCATCGGCTCCTTGACCAGCATGTGTTTCGTCGTTTGTTGCACCCAGCAAAAGAAGATGGATCTTTTTAGCCTATTCGGAAAGGCCTTCCTGGCTACACGGATTATACGCGTAGACGGTGAAGAACAAGTGGCACAAATGAATGGATGCTCAAGATCGATCATGCATCGTTACAGACAAAAATCTATATCCTTACTATTGACGAAAGTGCAGCATCTGCGACGAGCCGACTGCGCGACGAGTGCATGTTGCTCAATGGTTACTGCGACAAAATGAACTAAATCCTGATTTTTCACGGCACATTCTTTTCGCCGACGAATGTTCATTTTCCCGAAAAGGAATATTTAATGCGCACCATTGGCACTTCTGGGCAAACGAAAATCCACATTTCGCTAACATGAGAGCATATCAAGAGCAATACTATTAATCTATGGGCTGGAATCGGGTAGTCGGTTGGTCCCAGATGCTGCACTCTCGTGTAATGGTAAGGATGCAGTCTTCTCTCTTGAAGGATACGATGAGTGGTCGATCTTGAGCATCCACTCATTTGCGCTACGCAGCGGACACTTCTCCTAGGATCCGCTTCCATCAATATTATTCTTGAATAAGTCTCCGTTTTCAGTATCTCCCCCACCTGATTGACACCACAGCAGATACCTATGATTTCAATACACCAGAGAAGTGGAGTCTCGTCTCTTTTTTCGTTGCTTAGATTAGGTATCAGCAACAAAGCTGTTCGGTAAAAATTGATACTGTTAATTGAAAATCATAAGCACCGATTAATCAAAAGCGATATTTATGTTTTAGTACACTTAATTACGTTCTTTGAATGAACATGTGGTACTCTTTTTTAGAAATAACGATAAACTTAATACCAGGGATATAATGCATAGTGAATTCTGAAAATGCACTACTTTTCGTTAAAAAGTACAACACATTATTCACGGGGCTCTAAGAAAATGACTTATCTAATACCTGCTCTTCGGTATCTACACTATGTCGAATAGTAATAAATGTATTATTTGCCTACGATGAAATGAAACAGCTTCTTTTATGACATGTACAGCCCAGTTAAACACAATTTAACTAGAATGGCAGCAGAAATAACTTCTGTCCCATGCTACTTGCCTTAAAGTAAACCTTGACGTCTCTGTGTACATTAATCAGTCATCTTTGGGGGCAGAAGCGTCTGTTCAGGTCAGTGATGAACTTCGTGACAGTTTATGACAAACAATTGTCAAAATGATTAAATTTATAACCACACTTCTGTTTCCTTTTGTTGACGGAGGGGGATTCGGAAAAAATTCATTCAACTTTAGTATTACCGGATTTTTTGTTCTTGGCATAGGTAACTTTGAACATAGAAACGTTCGGATATAAAATCAGCCTCTCTATTGGTCAACTTAATCGGCTTCCAGTTCTCACACGGTTAAAGCCTGGACAATTCTTTTTGCGAATTACGGCACAGTTCAGGACAGGGAACATGTCATTCACGGGAATGGCGCGAATTCTGGGACACCCTGTATAAAATTTGGTATGAAAATAAAATGTGTACATCGTGTTCTTAAATTCGAACAGTCTGCGTGGTTAAAGGAATATATAGACTTAAATACAAGGCTTAGACAGCAAGCGAAGAACGATTTTGAAAAAGATTTTTTTAAATTAATGATTAACGCTATTTATGGTAAATGCATGGAAAATGTTCGAAAACATAGGGATATTCGATTGGTCAGTAAATGGGAGGGACGATGGGGAGTTCGTTCTCTTATTTCTAAACCAAATTTTCACAGTTCCGTTGTATTTGATGATGATTCAGCTATCATCGAAATGAGTAAATTAGAGGTGTTTTTAAATAAACCAATTTATGTCGGTTTTTGTATTTTAGATATTTCTAAAACTTTTCTCTATGAATTCCACTATGGTTATATTAAGGAAACATTTAACAATAATGCAAAGTTGCTTTACACCGACACTGACAGTCTAATTTACGAATTTCATGTAGGTGATATATACGAATATATTAAGAAAGATTCTCATCGGTTTGATACTTCAGACTATGATTTGTATAATGTTTATGGTATAGAACAAAAAAATTAAAAAGTGCCAGGTTTGATGAAAGATGAAAATAACGGTAAGATTATGTTAGAATTTGTGGGTCTCAGATCGAAAATGTATGCATATAGAGTTGTAAACGATGATTTTAATAAAAAAGTAGTTAAGAAATCCAAAGGTAGTACGAAAGCTTCACTTAAAACAATAACATTCGAAAATTATAAAGAATGCTTATTTAATAGCCGAAATTACGAAAAGTCCCAAAATCTCATCAAATCAAAACATCATATTGTTTACACAATAAAACAGGAGAAAATAGTTCTCAGCCATAATGATGATAAGAGAATTGTTACAAGATTTGCAACGGATACGCGACCTTGGGGATATCATATTTCGCCACCAGAAATGTGAAGAGTGGGGAATTATAATATAACAGCAGTTTAAGTTAGCTGATGATTTATTCGATGTTGGTGATTTCACATTACTACAATGTCTGACTTGAGACAATTTGTTGATTTGCAAGCATTTTGTGCATCCGAAAATGTGTATAAAATTTATCTTCGCGCCGCTGCGAATGATAGGACAAAATTAAATTTGTTCCTTTACATTATTGAAAAAGCAGAATTTATTGTACCGGATGAAGTATTTAAATGGATTGCTGAAAATGAAGTTGGTTTTTTTACTCTTGACATATGTGTACTCCTACAAAAGAAACAATCTCTTGACAGTTATATTGATGCATTTCTAAATATATGTGAAAGAGACAACATTGAAAATTTAAATTATGCTTCTTTGGAGTTTTTAATGACCACCAACTACCTTGATAATTCACTAGTTTATAAATCTTTTATTTATAAGTTATTAAGTGATCATCGCTGGCAGAATCTGGGGGATATCTTCTATCCTGTTGAAAATATCCAGAAAAATTACCGACGGATCGAGCAATGTGTTGACGAATTTATGTGTCGAGCTGCATATTTGGCAAATCACAAAGCACTCACTACATTCTTTGAGGCTCTAACGATAATCAATTACGATTCCTTCACATTTAAGCCCTCTGAAAATCAGGAGCACAAAAGAATTTTCACCTGGCTCAAAAAGAACATTGTCAAAGGCGAAGCTAATCCTGAATTACCATTAGGATGGACCGAAGGACCAGATGCAGCAAGATGGCCCTCAATTAAATTAGACGATTATAAGAAAACTTTAGATGTAATTTTTGGTTGTCATAAATAAAATACACAAAAATGGTTGTATATGTAGTTTTATTTACCCCTCAAACATAATACATTAATTTTAAATACAGTAACATATTAAATTATTCACAACACTCTGACGACATCTTGTGCAGGAATGTATTTTACCATTCGGTCGTGAAGAATAAGACAGTAGGCTGTGGTGTCTGCTGGAATACCTGAGGTCGTTTCAAACCACAAAGTAATTGTAACGGGGCCTCTCTTCAAAGCTTCCGTTTGTTTAGAACAGTCGATTACTACTATGGGTGTCTTTTCTTTAAATTCATCCTTATCGAATAATGGCTCGCTAGTTTTGGATAAGAACGATGTCTGGAACTCTTTAAACATATCATAGAGAATTGCATAACGATTATTTGTGAAATCAACATTCAAGTTGTCGTAGGGATACATGGTATCGTTAAGATACAATTTTACATCTCTCAGATTACAATGATCAAATTGACTGTAGTTTTTCTTCAATTGATTTTTTCTTCCCTGTTGCAATGCAAAAAGTATGTACTGAGGTTTTTATAAGGAAGTTTTAATAGTCCAAGTATTAGTTATCGATTGAACTGGTGGCGCAAATTCATGTAATTCTTTACTTCTAAACATAATATCCAATTCCCTGTTGCTCCTTACAATATCGATCAAGGCGATCCTTTCGGCATCGGACACGGACAAGTGATGCATTTTCCAGCATATTTTACTAAGTTCTACTTTAATTTTGTATTTATCATTTGAAGAAATTAAAGCATTTACATCGGTATTAGAACGAACTAAAACAAGCTCTTGTCTTACATTCAAAATAGCCTTTTTGAAATCTTCGCAAAAGCCAAAAATTATTTTTAATGGAATCGAAACTTCAAAAGTTCCATTTTCTTTAATTATATTCGAATCTTTTTTAGGAAACCATCCAGCATTCTCTAGAGCTACGCTTTCATTACTGTTATACGTTACATATCCTTTCATGGTGGACGCTAACCCTGGGTTTCTAATACTATCCACAACGACTCCAGCAATTTCATATCTTATTTGATTAAACAACAAAAGAACGCCATTATTTACAAATTTGATTTCTGGTTTCTGTACAATTTCGTCGATTTCATTTTTCACAATAATCTTACCCTCTATATGCAATGTACTCAAATGAGGAAAAGTGTATAAATCTTGATGTTCAATAGGAATTCTTATTTCATCATCATAGTTATATGAACTGTTAGAATAAGGCAAGTGTGTATGTCTTTCTCCATAATAAATTGAATGATCATATGCAGCTTTTTCGTTTACGTTTAATATTTCAAAATTCATTGCTGTTTTTTATACTGGATAAAAATATTATTTCAAAACCGTTAATCCTAGAGATTCAAGAAATCTACGATTCCCTAATGTTAAACGTTTGATCCTTGTAGAAGGACTGACTGATTTTCTTTTCATCGTCCTATTTATATATACCGAATTTCGGTTTTTTAGATTTTCATTAAAAATAATACCCATCACGTGAGCTTCTTAAGATGCAAACGTACACCCACCTCCTCACCTCTAAAACTAACAATATTTCCTTCTTGATCTGTTATTTTAACTATTATCTCATCTATTTGTTTCGTATTAATTGGTAGATATATTACATTTAATGGTCGCTCCACTATTTTATAACCGGGAGGTACTGTTGGAAAAAATTGATGTATTACGTGAACGGGATTTCCGTTCTTATATGAACCAGTTACTATATTACAATAAACGCAAAGAGCATTCACTTTTAAAATTTTTGCTGGAAAATCTGATATATGAGTTTTATGCGCTTTCAGAATGTTGTTCTTAAATCCTAATAAACCTCCTAAGGAATCCTTTCTTGAAAAATTTATATCAAGGGTACATTTAACTTCCGATTTTAATGTATTATTATTTCCTCTGATTATTAAGTTTGGTGTTGACATTTTAAATTTCTTTATTCTATTTCCGTATTCGTCAGTTTGGTATTGAAAATAATGTTCCATATAGTTTTTGATTTCTTTATTTAAATACGACTCAATGTCTTCTATCTCATAAGAACCCTCGGGAATTTCTATATAATGCTCTTTTTTGTCTGCTGTAAAAAAATAAAATTTGTTATTATTGTTATCGATATTTGGAAAAGAATTCCAAGTAACCAAACTTTCTAATCCTAAAGCATAGTTATAATCTTCTAAGATAATTGGTGGATAGTATCTGCTCGAAAGTACAGAACTGTTTCCATCCAATGAAAATACGTTCGACATCGTAGTACTTGCTTCAACGACACTATCAATTGAACTAAAACGTTCTAACTTCGAACAATCTTATTTGTAACAGTTATATAGAAATTGTAGACATAAATGTCCACAATTAATAGTTTTAAAAGTCTGTAAAGCTTGATGATTATATACTATATTACAGGAACCTTTGCTCTGTAAATATTTGATCAGTTCAAGAGGTGGCCTCAAATCTCCATAACTATCGAAGTATATAGCTTCATTTCGAGTTTTTTTATAAGCTGTCCAATGTGTTCCAGAACCTTCCTTATTGTCTAGATTTAATATACCACACTCATTAAGGTGCACTTTATTTGGAAGCGAATCTTTCATAAAAACTCCTCTGAAGCCAGGAATTTTCAAACGCTTTACATATTTGCAAATGTCGATGTTGGTGAGAGCATGTTTTGGAAGATTTATCGGGAGTTCTTTTGAAATTTTGATGGGGCTAAAAAAAGACCATATCCTCTTTTATATGGTTTCAAATATAATCCACTCCCTGACTTTCCTACAGCTATCGACTCCATTTTCTGATTGTGTCTTTGGTTTTCTTTCAACTGTTCTTTGGCTGATTTAGCATCGTTAACAGCTTTTGCAACGGCTGCTGCACCACCACCTAAAGATCCCAGAGCGCCTAAAGCGGCAAATATTGGTAGCAGAGGTAAAAATCCACCACTTTTCGGTATGGGTATTATACGTCTGTGACGAAGAGGTCTCACTCTCTTTCTTCCTTTTGATGATTTTACTGCTCTCATGGCCACTTTAACAGCATCGTTCATATTCTTAAATTTCTTATTTTTTAAAGCAAGCCTGGCGGATTTTCTTAAAACGTTAAAATTCAAGGCCTTTCCACGTCTAACAGTTTTTCTTTTGATTCGACAACCCATACCAAGTTTTATTTTAGCTTTCATAGCAGCCGCAACACCTAAAGCAGCAGCTTTTTCGCCGAAAGATGCGTCCGAAGAACGTAGTCTAAGTTTTGCTTTATCTAATAGAACTTTATCGGCTTTATGTCGATTTTCCAAATCTTTATGTTCACTGTAAGCTATATCGTGAAATTTGCAAGCTTCGTCTAATTGATTTCGACCTTTATCTCCTCTTGCTAATCGTTTTTCTAATTTAGTTCCTGGTCCACAAAAGTCATAACCCGGAATATGAAGTTCAAACGGTAATTTATTAATAACCGAATTTACGATCCCACGTCCACAATATGTTTTTCTGTAGGTCTCACTACGACGACTGTTCCTTGTTCGCTTCGTAATCTTCATTTATACTCAAACTTTCGTTTCAGCTAAAATACTAACGGAATCGTAGAAAAATTTAGTATTTATACCCCTCCACATGTCGGTTTCTTAATTAGATGTCGAAATGCGTTTGATCCCTCAAAACCTTAAATTGCCGATAAGCAATAACGATATCAAAATTAACAGTGAGAATAAAAGACACGGAGATCTTTTACCATCGACAGTAAGATGTATTATTGTCGGACCGTCTAATTGCGGAAAAACTAATGTTATGATAGGTTTAATCGAACATCCAAATG